AAAAGAAAACTGAATGAAGAGGAAGAGGTCATTCAAGACGAGAGTGTAGAATAAGAGGAACAGGTGCGGAGTTATGTGAAAAACTAACATATAAACACAAGCAGTGAGGCGACTAAGAAGGGGGCATTTTCTGAGGTTCCGAGGCTGTCATAACAAATTACCACAAACTGGGCGACTTATAACCATGGAAATTTCTTCTCTCACAGTTCTGGAGCCAGAGTTGAAATCAAGGTGTCAGCAAGACCATGTCCCCCCAAGATTCTAGTGGAAAATTCCTCCTTGCCTCTCTAAGCATCTGGTGGCTCTAGGCATTCTGAGGCTGGTGCCCACATCGCCCCCATCTCTGCCTTTTCCCCTGTGTGCATGTCTTTTCATCTTCTATCTCTTATAAGGAAACTGGTCACTAGAGTCTAGAGAGCTCACCTTGACCATCTATAGGATGATCTCATCTCAAAATCCTTAACTTCATCTGTAAATCTCTTTCCAAATAATATCTAATTCCCAGGCTCCAGAGATTAGGATGTGGACATATCTTTTGGGAGGCCACCATTCAACCCACTCTAGAGAGAAGGTCTGAAAATTGTAAGGACTGTGGGGGAGAGGATCTCTCTATGAGTCAGGCTAAAAATAAAGAATAAAAATAAAAATAAAGACCTGCTTAATTTTGTGTAACATGAAGTTCCCCAAATGCATTGGCACTTTCTTCTCCTAGTGTGAATACAAAGATGAATAAGATCCAACCCCAGCCTTCATGAAGGCCAGTGGGCTGGGGGTTGGGGGGGCGCGGAGAAAAGCATATAATCAAAATAATTGCAGTGTACTGTTTAGATGCTACAACAGAAAAGTGTTCAAAGTATGGTAGGAGCCCAGTGAGAGGTAAAAGTAATTTTATGCAGGATCAAAGACCAGCTTACTCAGTGGAAACTGGCACACACACTCAAAAGTGGTGGGTGGGGGATTATTCTGGGAAGAGATTTCATGGGTGATGGTTTAGAGGCCAGGAAGTGTTTATGGATTATCTGGGGAAGAGTGGAGAGTTGGGTAAACCCTGGAGGGTAAGGTCCAGGGCAAAAGCGAACAAGAGGTTATGTAGCAGCCAGAACTGTGGACAGAAAACCTTTAGCTTTCCCTTTGTGCCCCATTCTAAGCAAGATCTGGACAATTAAAGGGAGGCCCTGGTGTGGGGAAAGAAAGAAGACTGCCAGTTACCATAGAGCTCACAGAGTCACTGGGGGCCCCATGGGTTGAGATTGATTCATTGGGAGCACAGGCTGTCCAAAGATGTCTGAAAGAACAGCTTGGCTCCAGGGGGAAGACTAGAAGCTGGGAGCAGCATCCGCAGGAAGGCTGGGGCAGTAAGTCAGAGAGGAAGTGGTGAAGGGCGGGCTAAAGCCCTGGAGACGATGGCAAAAGACATGAAGAGAAATCTCACAGAGGAAGACATAGACATGGCCAACATGCACATGAGAAAATGTTCTGCATCACTTGCCATCAGGGAAATACAAATCAAAACCACAATGAGATACCACCTCACACCAGTGAGAATGGGGAAAATTAACAAGGCAGGAAACAACAAATGTTGGAGAGGATGCGGAGAAAAGGGAACCCTCTTACACTGTTGGTGGGAATGTGAAGTGGTGCAGCCACTCAGTTTTCCAGAGTGGAGGAAAGTTCCAGAGTTTTGAGTGGAGGTTCCTCAAAGAATTAAAAAGAGACCTGCCCTACGACCCAGCAATTGCACTGTTAGGGATTTACCCCAAAGATTCAGATGCAATGAAACGCCGGGACACCTGCACCCCGATGTTTCTAGCAGCCATGTCCACAATAGCCAAACTGTGGAAGGAGTCTCGGTGCCCATCGAAAGATGAATGGATAAAGAAGATGTGGTTTATGTATACAATGGAATATTCCTCAGCCATTAGAAACGACAAATACCCACCATTTGCTTCAACGTGGATGGAACTGGAGGGTATTATGCTGAGTGAAGTAAGTCAATCGGAGAAGGACAAACAGTGTATGTTCTCATTCATTTGGGGAATATGAATAATAGTGAAGGGGAATATAAGGGAAGGGAGAAGAAATGTGTGGGAGATATCAGAAAGGGAGACAACATAAAGACTTCTAACTCTGGGAAATGAACTAGGGGTGGTGGAAGGGGAGGAGGGCGGGGGGTGGGGGTGAATGGGTGACGGGCACGGAGGGGGACACTTGACGGGATGAGCACTGGGTGTTATTCTGTATGTTGGTAAATTGAACACCAATAAAAATTAATTTATTATTAAAAAAAATAAAAAATAAAGCCCTGGAGACGAACTACACAGTACAGGTGGGGGGCCTGGCAGACAGATCCCCTCCAGGGGCTGGTTGGCTCTGAAGAAAGGATAAAGAGCACTACAAATGAGAGAGGAAATGGAGGAATGGGGGGCACAGTCCCTCACCCAAGATTTCAAATCTTAACAGCTCTGAAGCATCAACATTTAAGAAGTAAGTCTGGTCTAGCTCACCTGGTGGTAGGCCTGACCCAAATTAACGCAAGGCCATTTGTAACCCTTGTGTCTCTTCTTTAGAGTGAATAAACACGGGTGGCTAAAAAAAATACTCTATTTGATTAAGGGGTGTGATCCCCACCATATGGTATGCCTCATGTTACCTTCTCAGACCTAATAAAAAATAAATTTATAAAATAAATTAATAAATAAATAAATAAATAAATAAATACATACATACATACATACATAAAATGTTTTTTAAAATGTCTGAAACCAGATATTTTTTATTTCAAGGCCTAGCGGCTGTAGATAAGTGATTTCATACCTACAATGAGTCCAGTTCGAAAGCTGCATTTGAGGTATTCAAAAGGAAAAGTCCTGTCAAGAGCAAACTAGACATGAATGAATACAGGTGTGGAGGGAAAAAAATTTTTTTTAAAAATTAAATGTTTTCCAGTGAACTAGAATAACATTTCAACATAGTGGGAATTTTCAACAAAATACCAAAATAATCAGGAAAAGAAGTTCTCCTCCCAGAAAAGAGCTCTTAGTTGACTTTAATATGTTGAAACAAATTCCACGGTGAGGCTAAAATTTTAAATCTCATATATGTACCTGCACCGTGTCCGGATTTTCCTATATGATTTTTCCTCCGAGCAGACTTCTACGAGAGAATGTCAGTAGGTAAGCTCTACGTTTTTCATTATCTGTGCTTTATGTTTCCGCTTCTTAGTTATTCTTGAATGGAATCAGCCTAACCTGGACAGCTGCCTGTCCTCACACGTCCACGTCCTCCTGGCATCACTGAACACCCTCGGGTTTCTTTTGAAGCCAGGCCCTCGGCATACAACATTTTCCCTCAGGATATTTGACTTGTTCAAACACGTAAGAGTTATTTGCAAAAACTCACTTGTCCCCCTTACTTTTGTTTTCTGAGTAACGTGAAGGACAAAAGGAGAAAAAGAAGTCAGAATTTGCCATGCTCTCTAGCTAGAGAGAAGAACAGTGGAAGCTGAGAAAGTGCCAACAACTTAGCAGTAGAAACAGTCCTTTGCCAGCTCACAAATTCCTGACACCTGGATCAGGTTTAATTTCATCATGGGTGGAAAACCGTGGTTCCAGAGCACCTGTATGTGTGCACAGGTACCATAGCAGCTGAAGGGACCTTTAGAAGTGTGTTTCTTCCCTCCCCCATTTAGTCTCAGCACTACACAATGGTCTGTGTGGTCTCTGGGATTCAACGAAAATCAAGCGTGTAAGTAAGGTTTAGGACTAGATGAGTTCATTTGATCATATTCCAGTTTTTTAATTACTATGCACTCATTTTAATGAGAGAGAATGCACATGAATTAAAAGTGCTCTTCTTTTTTATTCAGCACGTATTGGCAGAAATAGTCTAAATAAATAATTGCAACATATCCTGTCATTAACATTTACTGTTTTATCTCTGTGCCAGAGTGCAGCAGTGGAATCCACCAAGCCAACAATTAAAATGAGACATCACTTTTTAGGCCTAGTTTAAATCACTCAATAATGTATCCATCATTTAATTCTCCATATGTCATTCATTCACTCAATACACATCTCACATACATTCTGTTGTGCCCACAGCATCCCTCTAGTGTCAGAAATAGGGTGAGAACACCAACTTTTGAAGGAAAGGGAGTTGATGTTTGATGAGCACCTACTATGTGCCAAATAATTCATTTTATCATCTAATTTATTCTCCAAAACTACCCCCATCAATATAGGTATTGCTAAACCAATTTTATAAATATGGGGAATGGGGTTAGAGAAATGAAAGAAGTTTCACAGAGCTCATAGAGCTCAAAAACAGTGAAAATAAGATTCATCCCATCAAATATTTACTGACCACTTACCATACATCTAACACTGTCTTAGGATACACCGTGATACAAAGCACTTGCACTGTAATTGTGGTCCTTGACCCTGGTGATTCAACCAGAATCACCTTGAGGGCTTCTAAAACATCTTGGTGCCAATGTTCACTCCTGGTAATTACGTTAGAATTTCTGGAAGTGAAGCCTGAGGTTAGGGTTTTTTGTTTTGTTTTTAAGTTCAATCAAACGATTCTAAAGTACATCCAGGAGTGAATCTTTTCATTTATTAGATTATGCTATACACAAGGTTATTACCCTCAAAAAACTTACATGTATAGAAGTTAGAGATAAATGCATAATATGCTTGGAAAACAATTTTAAGGTCATGCAACAGGAAATTTGAAATTGTGTAGTATATATTTAAAGTATTGGAATTCACAAAAGGAAAATTTACTTTTGGAATTGGAACAGCGTTATGGGCTAAACTCTGTTCCCCCAAAATTCATATGTTGCAACTCTAACCCTCAGTATCTCCCAATGTAACTATATGTGGAAAGAGGGCCTTTAATAAGGTAATAAAGTTAAAATGAAGCCATGAGGTGAGCTCACCTGCCTTGTGTCCTTATAAAAAGAGAAAACGTGTTGCACAAAGCAACAGGAGGGGTGCACACACACACCCTGAGGAGAGATCACTTACAAACCAAGAAAGAGGCCTCAGGAGAAACCAACACTGCCAACAGGGTTGATCTTGGACTCCCGTCCTCCAGAACTATGAGAAAATGAATTTCTGCTGTTTAAGTCAGCCTGTGGAATTTTTTATGGAAGCCTTAGGAAACTAATACAGGTGGGTTCTTGAAAGCCTAATCTCACAAATGAAAAGAATATAGGGAAACCACTTGAAGACAGGGCATACTTTTGATGAGGGTCATGATTCTCAAACTTTGGTATGTATCAGGGTCATCTACAGAATTTGGCAAAATCCAGATACTCAGGTCCTATGCTATTTCCACAAAGTTTGAGCCACTCAATTCTTTGCTTCTGATAATTCTGATACATCAGTTTGAGAATCATTAGACTGGAAAGTGGAGGAAGGACATCACTGGCAGGTGAGGAAGCAGCTGTTACTGGGGACAAAGAGAGGCTAGAATGAGTGTGATTCATATGGATGGGAGTGATGGTGTTAAGGAAATCTGCATTAGGACAGAAGGAAAGATGGTTTATCTTCTATCTTCTATCTAAATTAGGATAGAAGGCATGATGGTTAATTTTATGTGTCAACATGGCTGGGACATGGTGCCCAGATATTTGGTCAAACATTGTTCTGGATGTGTCTGAAGGTATTGTTTTGGATGAGACTGACATTTAAATTGGACTTTGAGTAAAGTAGGTAATGTTGGTGGCCTCATCCAACTGGTCGAAGGCCTAAATAAACAGTTTGAGCTGCCCAAACAAAATGGAGTTCTGCTGGTAGGTGGCCTTTGAGATGATAGATAGATGATAGATAGATAGACATATATTCACACACCCATACCTGCATCCTGTCAGTTTTCTCTGGAGAACCCTGACTAATACAAGAGTCAGATGATAGAATTCACTGAGCAAAGGCCTTGATAAGCAAGCTAAAGAGTTTGGTTGTTAACTGATTATGACTGTAGAAGCTTTCAGATAAACCAGGTAAGCCTTCAGACTATAGGGTTTGCTTTTGGCACTTACCAAAAGAACAAACACCAGTATAGAGTATGGATCAATCCATATCGTTCTTTTCTCTTTGTCACCACAGAAAGGGAAGCGGTTATCCAGAACTATGAAACTCGCTAGAACAGGATTATAAAGGTTGCCAAACTGAGTTTTCTTCATTTTTGTGACACCAATACGACACAGGGATAAAGTGGAAGAGGAGGTACAATTGAGTGATGAAAAATGCAGCTGTGGGATTTAAATCCTTGACGTAGGTGCCAAGCCCATGTTCTGCTGTCATCTGCTGAGATTTGCTGAGTCTGTTCTCTTTTGACGTAGCAACCGTGAAAAATATCCCAGAATGAAACAAATTGGGTTAGATTTCAAAGGATTCAAGTGAGGAACCACTAGGAATTGTATCCTACAGTTCTAACTTGGTTTTCAAAGACTTCTGCTGACATACATCTTGTGTCCTTATTGCTGTTGGAAGGGTGGGAATAGATGCTGCATGTATTTGTTTTGAAAGTGTCGTTGAAGTCATCTATGCCTATCATACCTTTGCTGTAGCTATCTAGTTTTCTCAGTTCTAGACCAGTCTAGATCTTCTTAATTTGTCTAAAATCTGTCAGTTCCCTCTCCAGTTTTCACACCAGTCTCTACTGAGATGCCACCTCATTCTTTCATATATTCTTTCGTTCTGTCCAACATTGATTAAATAAATATGTATCAAGTACCTACCCTAAGCTCCACACTGTGACAGGTATTTCAAATTCAGTGTTCAACAAGATAAAAGACACAATCTTATTCTCATTATAATCTTTTGATATCTGATAAAATGTTATCTTAAAGGCAAAAAAAAAAAAAGGAGAAATGTTCCAAAGGATACTGACCCAGACATCTGATGGGACTACATTGGCTTAGCAAATGTGTTGGAGGTTTTCCTTGTGCATGCTTAATTTCTAGAAACTTCAGGGAGCAAAACTTTCATGAGTAGAGATTCCAATAGACAGAATATATTTCCAGGAAACATGCATTGTGAAGCAGTTTAAAGCTTTCCTCTTTCCTCCCTCTCTACTCTCTCCTCTCTCTCATTTAATAAGTATGTTTGAGTCTATACTATAAACAAGATTGGGTGAGGATAAGATGTGTGAAAACGGTCTTTGCACTCTGAGAGCTTACAGTATAGTAGGGAGTGAGGCAGGAATAAAATGTCATACAGATCAATGCAAACTCTGGCAATACATGCAATGAATGAAAGGCACACAGAAACAACAGGGGAACTTACTTAGTCTAGAGACTCGGAGAAGGCACTAAACATAAGTACCTTTATTCTTATTTACAGGAAACTATCAAGTACTATCCACGCCATTGCTCCATTCACTTAGTCTCAATCAGTGTTGGGAATGATTCCTTTTTCTAAAATGCTATATAAAATATCTGTATTAAAGACCCCCAAAGAAGTATATTTTTATTTATGTGGCCACACAATTCTGTTATCTGATTGTGAGGACGGATATCTTCCCTTTAAGTAGTATGGAGTATCTGAGTTGAAAATGGATCCCCCATTGGGCAAAAATAGAGACAACTAAGCATTCTTGATTATCATAATATTAAATACCCCTTTCTGGGTGCAGAATTCCAAGCTACATTTATCATATGGGCTACAGAAATGGTTCTTATTAGAATCACCTAGGTGCCTCAACTACTGCTGCCTGAGTCCCGCCCCCCAGAGATTCATATTGATTTGATATAACTGGGTTTTCAAAACCTCTCCAATGGACTCTACTGTGAAGCTATGATTAAGAACCACCAGGCAACCATGATCTCTATCCACAAATAACTGTATTCCTAAAGTGGCCTTCACTCTCTGATCTTAGGAAAGGTCTTGCCTGTATTCTCAAAGTTTTACACTCTCCAAGTATTTTACTCAAAGAAGAGAATTGCCAGCATCCTCAGAATTCAAGACTTCTTTGTCAATAAGTGTTAGTGATCATAGTTGCTTAAAACACTTCAGAGACTAAGAACTTGTTTTAGGAAAAGCCTTGAGGCAGAGCATATTTAGGATACACTGCAAAATACTGTGTTTGGGTTTGAAATTTATGTAAAGACTGACCTTCTGATAGAAAGTCTATTGGGGATGTATATTGAAGCTTCTTTTCCCCAGGCACTTAGAGCAAAATAAAAATTTCCAATTATGGTGAACTATAAATTTTGGACTAAAATGCTGAGAATTTACCAGAGAGGAGGTGGAGGTGGGTGAGGTAAATAGGTAATGGGAATTAAGGAACGCACTTGTAGTGTTGAGCACCAGGTGTTGTATGGAAGTGCCATATCACTATATTGTTCACCTGAAGCTGATATTACACCATACGTTAACTAACTAGAAGTGATATAAAAACCTAAAAAAGAAAAAAAAATGCCAAGAACTTAACAGGGCAATTCAAACTCTATATATGGGAATTGATCTGAGAGAGTCATGAATGCAATGATTGGGAAAACTTCCTAGAGATAGAGGTCAGATAGGTCTTAACTGGTAAACAGGGTATTGTCAGGTAGAGAGGAAAGGAGGCAGTGAGCATGGAAAATATTGCAAAAGAGGGAAGAGCATGGAGGAATGGTATAGAGTTAGAAATAAGCATCAGCTTCTAAAACAGTGAGAAAACTGGCCAGCTGAAGTCTAGGTGTGATGCTATATATCCTGGGAAAGAATAATGCATTAGTACAATGGGACCAGACTAGGAAGTTCTTTTAATTCCACCTGCAAGAGTTTATACTTTAATTTCTAACAATGAGGAGATACTGAATTTTCTCAACAGGCACTGGTAAGATAGCATTTTATGAATATCAACTTGTTGGCAGTTGCAGAGTAGAAGGGAAAGACCAGATAGGAGGGTTTGGCAATGACTTGTCTATGACTTTGAGTTTTCCTGATGACTATGCAAAGAAAAACAATGGGATGTATGAAGGAGGCATTTTGGAATAAGTATCAACAAGAATTGGTCATTGAATATATGTAGGTGGTAAAAAAAAAAAAGAGTCAAAGTTATTCTGAGGTTTTAAGCCTGAAGGATTTTGGAAATCCTTAGGAAACTTTGTAGATGCTGGGATCTTTGGGTCCATGTTCTATTAGGAACAGAATAACCAATTCTGGCACTTGTCTCTGCAGAAGGAGAAATACACACTCAGTGTAAATTCACCCATCTCAGAGTGAGCTTTTCTACACTTCCTTAGAACTAACACTGCAAATATTTTTATCAGGCCAGATATGACAAGAATGGTGTGATGCTCCAATCCCATAGCCAAGGTGGAGAATTCCAATTTATGGAGTAGGTTTTCCCTAATACCTATAAATTAAGAGCGTACTGTATTAGTTTGGTAGGGCTTCCATAACAAAATCTCAGAATGAGTGGCTTGAACAACAGAAATCTATTTTGTCTCAGTTCTGGAAGCTGGAAGTCCAAGATCAAGATGTTGGCAGGTTTGGTTTCTCCTAAGACCCCTCTTCTTGGTTTGCAGATGTAGTCTTCCCACTGTGTCCTCATGTGATCCTCTCTCTGTGTCTAAATATCTTTGGTGTCTCTTCTTTTTCTTTTCTTCTTCTTCTTCTTCTTCTTCTTCTTCTTCTTCTTCTTTCTTTTTGGTGTCACTTCTTATAAGGACACCAGTCTATTCAATCAGGGGTCACCCATAGGACTTCATTTAACTTTAACCACCTCTGTAAAGGCCTTATCTCTAAATGGAGTCACATTCTGAGGTTCCTGGGGGTAAGGATTTCAGCATAAAATGTTGGGGTGGAGGGAACAGAGTTTAGTCCATAAGAGGCAGCATGTTCGCTAACTAGTATTCCTTAGGAGATACCCAAAATTCAGAAATCAGAACGTTAGCTATTTCTGAGAAGTATGTTCAAAGTTAAGGGAACATCTCACCGCTTCCCAAAAGCAGATGAAATGAATCTGCCACTTAAATTTTAGGAATTATACAAAATAAAAATGAAAAATGCATCATGCAACCAAATTGTTCTTTTTTGTCTTCCTATGATTAGTCTAAATATTTTGGGTAAAAGGCAGGGAGGGGGAAGCATGTCCTATCTCACCAAATCATGTCTCTCTATGTCCATAAAGTTTTCTACCTACTATTCTTCATATGATCTCAGTATCTAGATTGCTG